GTGCAAACACACACCCTCCGAATCGCGTACGAAGAGGGAAAATAAAAGGAATAAGCCAACGGCGGGGGATGGTAGGAGGAATCGAATGAATCTTTATCGTCCTCGCTGTTCCATGAATACCAGTCTCAATAACGAAAGTCGATTTCATCTCTCCTCTGTTCTTTTCGGTTTTGCTCAATCCGGGAAGCCGGGGAAATGGCTTTTATGTACCGCATCTTGTCAAGGGAAGAGGAGAGAGACTCCGATCGAGAAACGAGAAACGAAAAACTTCGATCCGAGGCGATTAATGGAATTCCAACGGCTCGTTACACGTTGCCCGGGATTTACTTTCGTTTTTTAATATGCGTTCATCTCGTCTATCCGTTCGACGGAGGGGACGGATGATGGTTTGAACGTGCAAACAGAATTCGCTGGAATTTCATCCGCGATTCCAGATCACCACTGTTGACTTTCGCGCTAGACACCCTGTCAGCGGATTCTTGGATATGTTAAGAGAGTGTACATCACTCGGGGGCGGATAAAATTGGCGAAGTTTGGGAATTTTTTTCGTAGGTAACTGTTAAACGAGAAGTTTCAATATTTTTTCGGGGACATAAATGTAACTTCCAGCTTTATTCTCCAATTTTTGAAAGGTAAAAATGTTACAGAATGGAGGAGTTATTGCGAAACCTCTTCTGCTGGAACGTAAATCTGAAATAAAGAATTGTTTTGGTTTCATTAGTCAAAATGTATTATCTACAATGTAGCTTACGATTTTTTGGATATTTCAATTATTTAAAATTGATTTTTTTGGGGTGAAAAGATACTCTTTAATCTGCCACCATTTCTGTAATACTTATAATTTTTGAAACGCCTCAATTTTGTAAGGTTTGTACTTTCTAAAAATTGGAAAAAATAGCTGAAAGTTACATTTATATTCTCTGAAAAAATTGAAACTTTTCGTTTAGCAGTTACCTACGAAAAAAATTCCCAAACTTTAGGTATTTTTAGACGCCTCAGGGCGGTGTATCCTATTAATAAATCTTGCTAATCCGATTTCGATCAGACCACCAGCGTGTATCGAGGAACTGAGACATGTTAACGAGATCGACTGCTCGCTGTTATATCTTCCCTGCTCTGTTAAACAGTTTTCCTCGATAAACAAGCTGTATCTATTCCTCGATCGATCATGGCCGTGTTACGGCGGCGCGATACACCTATTGTCCGGAGAAAATGATTTCACAAGAAGTGTATTTTTACCTCCCTTTTTCGTCATGTATCGATTTTTCCATTGAAATTGGTCGGCTGTGGAAATATTTTGAATTACCTTCGAAATGATAGTTTATTCTGAGATATCGCAAGTCTTCTATTTTCATTAACTTTCGTTTCGTCCAAAATGGCAATAAATAGAAATAAATTAACGTGATTATTTTTCTGCATCTGCTCACAATTTTCCTAATTAAATTCTGCATTTCGCAGTGATTGACATAAGCTAGGCATATTTGTTTCAGATTATTTAAATATTTGAAATTTATAAACTACAGGGTGGGCAGAGTGAAACAGGCCATCTAATTATTTTGGTGGTACGAGAAAATTTGTATATGTAATTTAAACGGTTTTAAAGGGCGAATAAATCATATAAGGGTGAAGTTTCATGTTTGATTAAAAATTTTAGAGTCTATGGTCATTTTGAGACGATACTATTATGCATATATAAACGCCCGTGCAGTAGAAAAATATATATACGTTCACATAAAGAAACATAGGCGACCTTGAAAAAATAAAACAGAAGAAGTGACATTTTATTCACCCTTTAGAATCACTTAAATAATTACCTAGGTTGCCTATTTTGCATCGCCCTTACGTTCCTTTCAAATACTATCAAATACCACATATTACTCCATTCTCAATTAAAAACAAGACCAAACATTTCAATACAAAATGCGCAACTAATCTTGCGCAATCTCTCTCAAAAAGGCGCTTAATAACCCGACGTTTCCCGCGAACCTCGTGAAAAGCAACGACGAAAGAGTTTGAACCACGTTACTCGAGTCCCAGACAGTTTAAAGCCCACTCAGGGGCAAACCCGCAGACGATCCACAAATTTGCATTCGGCTGTCTCTGTCGTTATAATCCCGACACGGGACGACAAGAAGAGATAGCAGGTTCTCTCGATCGGGTGTTAGAGTTGCAGAGACCACGAGCCCTAGGCCGGAAGAGAAACCAATCGGCCGGCTCGTGTCTTCTTATCGTCGGGGGCGATCAATAAGTCCCGGGAGGAGAAAAGAATCCGCTCACCATTCGCTGCCAGCGACGTCAACGCGACGATGTTAGTTTGGATGAAGTCTCCCTGGTGGGGGAAAACAGGAAGGAGAACGAGGACACAGGGGTGGGTGGTGGGTATAGAGAGAGGCAGCAGTGGCGGCAGTTGTGCGGTAGTAGTGGTAGAACTGTGCCTGGTGGTGGGGTTTAGCGGCAGACAGAGAGTTGATAAGGGTTAATTTCATACGAAGAGGCAGCACCGACGCGCCGCGCACTCGGAATAGGAGAAGTGAGAAGAGGAACTGCGGTCCAACGTCTGTGTCCGGTTGTGATTCTTGCGCCTGCCCCGGAGTGATGTTCACCCCCCGCCGACAACGTTTCAAACCACCTCCGGCTCGTCCTCGGCGAACGTTCTGTTGTGGTCGCGCAAGCGCATTTTACCCTGCTTCCGTTTAGTCCGCATCAACGGCTCGACCACGTCGTTACGTCCGAGATCCCACGTCTGGGGATCGTCATGAGGGAAACTGGAGAGAAGTAATCGTTGGCCGAGGTTCAATTGGATTCCACACAGTGATTCGAGTGCCTTCGAATCCCGCTGTTGCGTCTAGAGCACCGTGTAGGGTGCACGAGTTTGAACCGACGAGAGATTCTCTCGGTGCAGAAGATTGCTAGAATTATGGTCGTTGGTTTGGTCGTCTTGATTCCTGCCGTCGAGATTGCAACTTTCATTTCTGCCGCGGCAGTTGCTTAACAGCTATGGGGACTATCTTTGGTTAGCATCTTTCCTCTCGCTATGATTGTTGTGTTGTTTAATCAAATTTAGGATTTTTACTCTGTTTTTTTTTTGTTTTTCGATGATTGTAATCGTAGGTTTGATTTTTATCGACGTTCGTTTGTTTCTCGATGGGAATGAAACGTAGGACGAAAGGTCGAGGGTAAATTTGTTCGATAGAAGTGGCAAGGGGATGATATTATTTCACAGCTTTAAACGGTTCGCGGCGTTTCCTTTTAAGCAAATTTCCAATATCGTCGTTCATATTTCCAGAGATCAAGTTTCAAATATCCTTAAACGATAGGCTATATTCCGTAATTGCTGCGTCACCACCTCTGCCCCGTCAAATTTAACGGCGGCAACGCGCTCACAGCCATTGACTGCAGATTTTTT